AATCTGTTTACTACGAATATGGAATCTCAATGTTTGTGATATCAAGAAGACACCTTTCATGTTTTTTACAGCGATATGTAATATTTTATGTCAAAGAAGGGCTAAAGTAGTGGTGTATAGATTGGGAAATGTATCATTAAGGTAGAGGATTATATAGAAAAGGATTACTCAAAGTGGAACGGGGACTTCAAAATGCGTTATATGGGCTGAATAAATATTCAGATGGTCCCTAGAGGACGCTCCTTGCATACAATATTTATTCAGTGAATGTATGCATTTTGAGGTCTGCACGACTCATTTCAATTTATGACTTCTGAATTTGAAAACAGGATTGTTGGATATGTACCTGGTTCACATGTAATATTTACGCCGTTGTAGCACCGCCGTAAATTTAACGACAGTGTTATTTTTACCGTGTGACCAGTTTATGCCGGTGTAAAAATGGCGGATTTTACACTGGCGTAAACTTTCTGACCAGAGTCCGAGTGTGAACACGCACAGTGGCATAAACAGTGGCACAAACACCCTATATCGGGAATGCGTGTATACGTCTATAGCAACGACATTGTCGCATACGACTTGTTTACCACTTCCGTGTGACTGAGAATGTTCTAGAACCGTACTGTGTCTGGGTGGAATTTTTAGAAGCTGGTTGAATAGGTAATAGGACACTGTAGAAGGCAATAGAAGGTAATGGAACATTCTAGAAATTCGTAGTAAATGCCAGACTCATTATGTATGCTGATGTAGTGGTCTATTTATAGACAGTGTGGGTATATATAGGGGAATTGTTCAGCACTGAGATCAGATCGGAGATCTCGTTGAATTGTATTGGAGTAAGTATCTAGTTATTGGAGTAGTGGAGTTTTACCGCGTTATTGTACTTGATGTTTGCAGAGTATAATAATACCAAGTACCAGTTGAAACCTCATCTGTTGGCTCCGTGTTCGTATTTTATCATCGCCGCCAGGGAAGTCTTTTTGTTACTGTTGCCATTTTGGTATTTGAACCATCACACCTGTACTATACCAATTACGGTAATATTACGTTGCGTGTGACATCTGGGGGCTCGTCCGGGAACAGTGAAGACATATAGAAGACAACATGGCCAACGAGATAAAAGATATGTCGAAACAAGAGTTGATGGAA